TCTATTAAACGATCAAATGGGACGACTGACTACATATATGGTATACCGAACTCGACACTCGTCGTGGAGCGGTTGACCACGGCAGCGAATCGCGACGAACGCTATTCTGGGACCACCTGGAACAAATTCTCGCGACAACACACGATGGGCGGCCGTCGTCCTTCTCCTGTCCTCGGTCTGATCGCTCACGAACCCGCCGGTTGCCATGCAGGTCTGCAAACTTCTGCTCGACGGATGGCCGACGACGCCGAGCGATGGTGCTGTTCCTATGCCCTCATGCTGACGTTCGAAAGTCAAGTTTCCTACATCAGCGAGATGATCATCGCGGGGAAAGTACCAGGCATCTCCGCAAAGACATATCGGTACACTACTGCTCGCCCGACTTCTTTCGTGTCGGCCTTCCTCTGTGTTCGCCATCTCTTGACGCTGAGTACTCGATGATGGCGTCGCGCGTAGGTGGCCGCGTGTCGCCGCCAAGGTCGCGAGTTCTCTCCTCGTCGCGCATCCTACTCGGCATATTTGAGGTCTTATTCTGGCCATCCTGTCTTTCCTCATCCATCATCTACTCGTCGTACTGCTTAGCACCTCGAGGCGCGACGCCGCGTGATGACACGGGATGCCCGGCACTACGCATTTGTCCTCTCCTCGCTGTCATAGCATCCTTAAGCCACGTTTGCCCATGGAACGCTGGTGCCCTTTCATCATCACTGGCGTGCTATCCTTGCCTCACTGCATACCGTGCGCTTCGACGTGGTGGGGCGCCACGCGTCCGCCGCACCGCGCCTGGACCGGTCCTCCAGGCCTTCGCATCAAACGTCGCCTCATCGTGGCTGCCGTCGGTACCGCTGGTCATTTAGCACTTCTCTACTACGCTGTGGTGTTTGCAACCAATCGTGAGCATACTCGGTCCGCGGGGGCTCTTGAACATGAATTTGGTCGAGTGAACCGTAACTGTTGACGGCGTGGATCCGCCCCCTCGTAGCCTGTCATCTTCTTCCCGGGCCGTCATCCCTCGCGTCCAATGTGGCCGCAGGCGGGTATCCTTACGGCAGGCTCAATGCGGAGATCACCGATGACTTAGCGAAGCCTGTGAGACGCGGCGCGGATCGGTAGCTAGCAGGAGGCCCATCAGCACGCAAAGCAGCAACAACAGCAAGTAGAAGTAATCAGCAGCCCAGCAGAAAACCCAAGAACAGCAGTCGCAGAACATTAGCAGTAGAATTAGACGGTAGCAACCGCGGCAGCGTTGCAAGTACCGTATCGGTAGGAGTAGCCAGTTGCAGTATGCTTTAGCATAGCAGTAGCAAGCAGGCAAGGAGCAGGCTGAGCAGCAGAAGCCCGTAGGAGCAAGCAGCAATTTTATTATTATAGTAATTATTATATATTTCATTATTATTCAGTAGTAGT